TTTTTTGGTTGTAGCTGTCATTGTTGTTTGGCAGGTCTGAGCTAGATTCAAACCCACCAGCTCCAGTGTATGTGGCTGGCACTCTAGCCACTGCGCTACAGACGCTGAGCCAAAAGGACATTTCTTGACCTACATATCAACAGCCATTATCTTTAGGCTGTAGAATGACACTGGTGTGGGTTGTATGGTTTTGTTATAGGTGGAGGGGGCATCTTTTGTCAGTTGATAGCATTTTATTAAGGAAATATGGTGGGCTTTTTTCCTTAGCGCACATGAGACTATAAACGTCATGAGACTTTCCTAAAACTGTTTTCTTAAAAAAAAAATAATAAATGATTTTCCTTGGCCTCTTCACTATCTCTTGACTTCACCAGCTCTAGTAATTGGTTTAACTTTTATACCAAATTTAAATGATGAAACAGTTTTATCACTTGTGAAAAACTTATCTTTGTTGCACAAAGAGATCTCCTTGAAAACAGACTTAAGGGGTGCTGATCCTGAACAATTGGCTAGGTCTTTTTGTTAAGCAACGTTCACCAACCTTCTAGGCTTTTTACTTGCTATTCAGCATTTGTGGTTTAGGTAAGTATCTTTTTCTTTTTGAGACAGAGTCTCATTCTGTCACTGTAGGTTGAGTGCCATGGAGTTATCATAGTTCACAGCAACCTCAAACTCCTGGACTCAAGAGATCCTCTGGCCTCAGGTTTTCTATTTAATAGTAGAGAGGATCAGATAAATATCGTAATACATTCACACATTTATGTATTTCTTTAGGACACGCCTTTAAGGTTGCTCTCAAATAGAAATAAAGGAAAGAGGATAATCCATCGCGTAAGATCTTGGAGCCAAGGGAGAGGATGGGAACTCATGTTCAGCTGGTGTTTACTGTCATAAGTGAGACTAGGAATTGTAGGGATTGAGAATTGAAATAACCATCCTGTTTGGCTTTTTATCTAAATTATTAATCATATTAATCAAGCCTATTTTTATAAATGGGATGGGGTGACAGATAAGGTAAAAGCAGTGAAAAAATACTTTCATGGTTGGTACAGAGCAGTGGTTCTCAACCTGTGGGTCACAACCACAGGAACTGTATTAAAGGGCCGTGGCATTAGGAAGGTTGAGAACCACTGGTATAGAGAATACAAGAAAGCCATAATTTTATAAAAAATAAAAGGCTGGATTGAGAACCCAGCACATTTGGAAAAATTGAGGGTTTTCAATCTCCAGGAATATTCTTTTTTTCTTTTTTGAGACAGAGCCTCTAGCTGTCACCCTGGGTAGAGTGCTGTGGCATCACAGCTCACAGCAACCTCCAACTCCTGGGCTCAAGCAAGTCTCCTGCCTCTACCTCCCAAGTAGAGGAGGTATTTTTTGGCTGCAGCTGTCATTGTTGTTTGGCAGCCCCGGGCTGGATTCAAACCCACTAGCTCAGTTGTATGTGGCTGGTGCCAAGCCTCCAGGAATATCCTTAAAGTGAATCAACCATGAGATTCAACCTGGAGAGGAAGAGAAAAGGATAAATGTCATAATAGTTTCAAAATTTTAGAAAAGAGAGAGAGCAAGATACTGAGAAGAGCTTAAATGGGACAATGAATAATAAGCAAAGCATAGCCTCGGCACCTGCGGCTCAAGTGGCTAAGGTGCCAGCCACATACACCAGCTGGCGGGTTCCAATCTAGCTCGACCCCACCAAATAACAATGGCTGCAACCAAAAAATAGCTGGGCATTGTGGTGGGCGCCTGTGGGCCCAGCTACTTGGGAGGCGGAGGCAAGAGAATCACTTGAGCCCCAAGAGTTGGAGGTTGCTGTGAGCTGTGGTGCCACAGCACTCTACCCAGGGCAATAGCTTGAGACTGTCTCCAAAAAAAAAAAAAAAAAAAAATTAAAATGAAGCATGGAATGTTCTTATTCATTGTTTACTTTAAAATGATTGAAGCATTTTTTTCATCTGCACAGGCACATTATTTTATTTAAAATGGAAATGTACTTTTTAAAGATGGAAATAAATTTTAAAAAAATTTTGTCAATTGCTGTTCAGCTTGTAGATTAAAGTATGACAGCTAATGTTAACTTGAAATTATCTGTATTCAAATAGGAAAGATTGTGATAAATATGTTTTTCGTATGCAAAAAAGGCAGAAAAGTAATGGTGGCATTGTCTGGGGCAACATCAAGAAGAAAATGGTAAGTAGTATTTATCCAACACTTATGAGACAGTTGTAATATATGATAAATTATAGTTATCAGTTATGTAACAGTCCTTCCCCTCAAGGTACATACGACTCAATACAAGTAAACTGTGAGGCCATGAATGAGATGAGTACGTTAAATACTGAAGGATCACAGGTGGCAGCTCATAGACTAAAGCCTTTGACCAAGGTGAGAATAGGTAAACATCTTCATTTGGGAAGTGAGGTAGGTACATTTCAGGCAATACAAAAGCATACTGTCTGTTCAGTGATGGGGAGTATTTCCAATTGAATCATAATTTTCATAGAATAGGAATTTTTTTTTTTTTTTTTTTTGCTTTTTCTTGAGTCAGAGTCTCACTCTTTTACCCAGGCTAGAGTATCATAGCATCAACCTAGCTAATAGCAACCTTAAATTCATGGGTTCAAGTGATCCTCCTGCCTCAGCCTCCCGAGTGCTGGAACTACAGGCACCTACTACAACACCCAGCTAATTATACTATTTTTAGTAGAAACAGGGTCACTTGCTCAGGCTGGTCTCAAACTCCTGAGTTCAAGCAATTCTCCTGCCTTAACTGTTGCCCAGTGGTAATACTACAGGTGCAAGCTAATGTGCCCAGACTTTGAATAAGAAATTTCATTAAATTCCATGTAGCTTTGTAATGGTTTCAAATATTTTCACATTCAATTATTTTATTTTCCCAGTTTTTTTATATCCGAACATACAAAATCCAATTACAAAAAAAATTTAACTAAAAGATGCCTTAATAGAGTGATCTTTGAGAAAAAATTTAATTACTTTTTAAATTTCTAATTTTAATTTGAATTACTGATGTCCAGATTTTATCCTGGAAAAGTTCGATTTATTTATTTATTTTTTTTGAGACAGAGTCTCACTACGTCTACTCACTTGGTAGAGTGTCATGGTGTCACAGCTCACAGCAACCTCCAACTCTTTGGCTCAAGTGATTCTCTTGCCTCAGCCTACCAAGTAGCTGGGACTACAGGCGCCAGCCACAATGCCTGGCTATTTTTTATTGCATTTGTCATTGTTGGTTAGCTGGCCTGGGCTGGGTTTGAACCCGCCAACTTCAGTGTATGTGTCTGGCAACGTAACCACTGTGCTACAGGTGCCGAGCCCACCTCAGATTTCTTCAAAGTAAATATCTAATCTTAGAGAATGACAGTTTATGGGCCTAGGGGACTACTTTGTCCCCCCAATGGTACTGCGTTAGATGATATAGCCATCTCTTCATTTGAAATACACAGAAAACTGGCCAAAGTATAATTCTTCTCAGAGAGTCTAAGTTAAATATTTGGTTTACACAATTATATCCGATCTATATGGGCTTTACTTGACCATTAGGAAATGGTAGCTAACTTGCTGGAGACCTTAGTTTAAAGCCAGTCTAGGGACTAAATTCAAAAGAAGTCTGTACTCTGTAATTGAAGTGAGCAGATGCCTTCTTAGTGTTTAAGATTCCCTTTTCATTATTTAATGAAAATGAACTTTTTGTTTGTTGCAAAGGACCTGGAATTAGATAAACATAGTAAGAAAACGTTGGAATGGGAATCCAGAGACTTAGCTCTACTTCCTGTTTTACCAGTATGTAATTGGTTGGCTTAAGAAATGCCCTAACCAAGTGTTTCCAAAGCTTTAATATGCTTAGAAGTCTGGGAGTCTTGTTAAACTCCAGTTCTGATATGGTAGATTTAAGATGCTGTACTCCTAACAAACTCCAGGTGAGGTCTGTGCTACTGATCCATGGACAGACTAATCCACTCAGTTTTCTTTGCAAAATGAAAAGAGGCTGATACAGATTAATCTATAAGGGCCCTTCCTATTGAGCACTTTTCATCTTTTTTATTGTTTCAGGTTGATTTGAAAGGGAACTTTTAATCTTTATAGGTTATACTTTCAGCAGTCTACCAAACTACAGTATTATGGTTTAGCCCCATTTATTTCATAGCATAATGTGGCCAATGTGTTAGGATGGGAGCAAAGGATTTAGTGTTCTAATTTCAAGATGCCATCTTTAGGACACTGAGCAAGCTACTTGAGTTTTCTAGCCTCATGTTAATTTTGTGTAGTATGATGGTAGTGATCAATTATACTGGCTTATGTTACCAAATAGTTTTTAGAGTCATAATACAGCATTTTGCCTCATCTCATAGGAAAAAACTACAATCTATGGACATGAGTTTGTATCTCAAAGGTTTCTTACAGCAGTACTTACCCTTAGTATAGGGGATATACTCCTGTTACAGCTTATTTTCTACTCTGTAACTTCTGGTTTTTTAAAGATTGCCAAACATGGCCTATAGTTTGATTGATGAATGTTAGCCCGTACTTCAAACTTGTCATATACGTTGCATTTTAGCAAAGAATTTGAAGGGAATTAGTTTTGTCAGTATTATGTTTTCCAAAAGCATATTTTTACCTATAGTCTGTTAGGATAATAACCATAATAATAAATTATATTTTGAGTTAAGTTTACGAGCATATTAAGTAATTTGTTGTTTTTGTTGTTGTTGTTGTTGCAGTTTTTGGTCAGGGCCGGGTTTGAACCCACCACCTCCGGATATATGGGGCTTGCACCCTACTCCTTTGAGCCACAGGCGCCACCCTACTTAGTAATTTTTTGAATCAAGTAAATTCTTAGTACATTTTGACAACTTTCAGAGGTCTATAGACTATCCTTTAACCACTGTAGCATAGTTTATATATTTCCTTACAGTAATGTTTGTCAACAGTGAGAAATGTTAAGTCATGGTTCTTGCCCTAGGTAAACTCAATTTAAACAAGAATTAGGCACTTCACAGATAATAATGTGATTACATATCACTACAGACATATGTTCAAAGTACTCTGGCATAAGATATGTTTAATTTGGTTTAGGCTTGAGGTAAGCTTCCTAAGAGGCGTCATTTAGCTGTTATTGTGAACTCTTTTATAGGTTGAAACTGATGTCTCACCTCCAACATCAAGAAGAAAAAATCCATTTAACAGAGGTAATACACTTAAATTTTTCTTTTTTAGCTCAGTTCTGTTATATGGTAGTTTGTATAGGTGATATTTGATTGCTTTCAGATCTACCATTTAGTTCCTTGTATTTGTTTTCAGTTTCATTGAAATTACTTTTAGAAGTGTATTAATCCTTTTTATTAAACTTCTCTTTCTTTACAGATTTAGCAGAAAACTCTGGTATTGGAAAACTTTTCACTAATGCTATGGAATCTTTAGATGAAGAAGAGAAAGATTATTATTTTTCAAACTCTGATTCTGCATAGTAAAAATGAGAAAATACAACTTCCCAAGGAAACATGGTATTTGTATCTTCATTTGGAGTACATGTATTTTTTTATATAAAAAGTAGCTTCATGTGCATATATGGAATTTTTTCCAAAGATTTCATGTGTTTATATTGAAAGTAAAATACCCTTCTGTAGAATATTCTCTTGCTACACCTTACTAAAACTGTAAGGAAAATTGTTTTTGCTTACGTAGATGTTTGTAAATTTGTTTTACAATATTAAAACATACAAAGATAAGTTTCTTATAAGCATCTAAGTCTGTTTACTTTAAGCAAATTATGTCCCAAATAGATTTTTAAAAAGCTTTCAGGAAAATGTTGCTACCATCAATGAGGTAAGAGGGGATGTAAGAGGGTGTATTGGTGGCCACTAAAGTCAGGAAAACTTGTAAGTTAGCATTTACCACCCCACTTGATACACAAAAGCCAGAATGGATCTAATGTTTAAATTACACATTCTTGAAACTATGTGACATGCTTCTCTCCTGATTGTTTTTCTTAAAACTTATGATTGACATATCTATAAAACCTATGTAAATTTATTATTGCCTTTTCATTGTTTTATCAGATAGAATTAGTTAACAGTTTTGTTGCATTCTTAATCCTTATTACATATGCATATAATCCTTATTACATATACTTAAATTGATCTCGATATTTTGATTGTATTAGACAGACATTCAGTTAATAAACCCACTATTAGTAGTCAAGTTTATGTTGTGTCATAGTAAACATCCTTTCTGTTCCTGACAGCGCCTTTAGAAGTAAACTGCTTTTTAGCTTACTATATTTTACAGTTTGATATAGAATATTTCCTCTCTGGCTACATATTTGCCTACCCTTTCTCTCCAGTTAGATTGTTCAAATAAAGTTAGACTGCTTTTATATTAGTTTCTTATTTTTGTTGCTTATTTTTAATTACTAGATCACAGAGAGATAAATATGCATTTTCTTAATGACCCTATTTTAGTTTCCTCAACAATACCTGAACTTTTAGTGGAAAATATTTTCTTGTTTCTTAAGAATTTAGTCAAAGCTGAGTACAGTATCCCATGCCTCTAGTTCCCACTACTTGAGCAGTTGAACAGGAAGATAGCTTGATCCAAGGAGTTCAAGATTGTAGTACCCTATGATGACACCTGTGAATAGCCACTGCACTGAAGCCTAGGCAATACAGGAAAACATTGTGCATTTAAAGCAGAGAATTTAGTAATAACCAGCAGTTATAGACAAGACTTATAGAAATACAAGATTTACAAGAAGACATGGGCAGAGCAAGATGACCAAATAGAACCATCCCTACACAGGAACACCAAAGTCAACAACTATCCACACCAGAAAGCACTTTCAGAAGAACCGAAACAGAGATCTCAGGCCTTGGTTTCATTTGGTTTTTGAGGCAGAGTCCCACTCTGTTGCCCCAAACTAGAATGCCATGGCATCACAGCTCACAATAATCTCAAACTTCTAGGCTTACACCATCCTCTTACCCTCCCAAGTAACTGATACTACAGACATGTGTCACCACACCCACCTAAACTTGGTTTCACATGTTCTCACTCATATGGGGAAACTAAATGTTAAAATAATTGATCTCATCAAATCAGAGAACAGAATGATGATTACCAGAGGCTGGGAAGGGTAGTGCATAGGGATGGTTAATGAGTCCAGAAATATAGTTAGATAGAATGAATAATGTTTGTTAGCACAACAAAGTGACTATAGTCTCTATATAAGCTATTATGTACCCATGATAATTAAAAATAAAACACGGGGAAACAAGATGGCAGACTAGTAGTATCTCCCTGCTGGCCTCTGGGAAAGAGAGAGAACCCAACTATATTTGGCATGGGGAACCTACCTGGAGTTGTTGCTTCAGGTGCTCAGCAAGGTGGTGGTGGACTGCAGGAGACAACAGGAGGTCTGGAGCTGTAAGGACTGACAGAAGGCAAGTGCCGGCAAGTGCACCGGCCAGCCCCCCTACGGACGTCTGGGGACATGAGGGAGCCATTTTGCAGTTTTTAGATTTCAGGGGAAGCTGCACATTGAGTGGAAAGCTTGGACGAGTGAGTAGACTCAAACAGTGTACAGTGACCAGGTTTGAATACTGGGTAGAGTGGACAGCTTGGCTGCTGGCTGGGCTGCCATTTGTGGGAAGGTCTATGGGTAGGACTGTCCATAGGGACCTAAAGCATAGCTGATTCTGGTATGCCGAGCTCAGTCTTTCATTCTTGGGGTGAGCTGAGTGGCTCCCATACCTCCCAGGAATTGTCAGGGGCCTTTGTGAGACTTGCCTTTTAAGGATTCTGGAGAGCTTTGACACCCCAATGCAGCAGGAACTGAATGCTGAGGAAACAACCAGGCACTCACTGAGGGCAACTAAGTAAGGATGACAGGGCTGTTCTTCTTGGCTTGTGTTCTGTCTCCTAAAACCACAGCACCACCTGGTGTCCTGGCTGGCTCTGGCATTGGCACACTCTCTGTAGGGGTGTGTGGGTGTGTGTGTGTGTGTGTGTGTGTTCCTATTCTTCCTCCCTTCTGGAACATTTTTTTTTAAGATTATTTTTTCTTTGTTGTTGAGGTTATTCTTGTTTGGGGTTATTAGAGTTTTGTTTGTTTTTTGCTAATTTGTTTGGTTGTATTCTTAATTTCCATTTTCTTCAAGAGCAAGAGCTCCTGTTTATTTTATGTTTTTTTTATTTTTTTATTTTTTGCAGTTTTTGGCCAGGGCTAGGTTTGAACCTGCCACCTCTGGCATATGGGGCCGATGCCCTACTCCTTTGAGCCACAAGCACCACCCAGGGCTCCTATATTTTTGTTACAGTATTTCAGCTCCATTTATTCTATTTTACTTCTTTTTTTCACTTTCAGTAGAGACTTTTCTACATATTTTATCTTTTCCATATAAATTGCTCATACAACAGTTAAAATATCTCCCCCTTCTTATGTTCTTTCTTCCCCCACTTTCTCCTTCTTTATCTGCTATAACCTGTATTTTTAATTTTCCTTATCTATTATTTGTTTTTGCTCTTTTGTCATAGTGCGGGGCGGGGGGAGGGGGGCGGGGTTACAGCAGTGGCCGGGCTTAAAGAGGTCAAGAGATCAGGGTCAGGAGAGTCTTTCTACATTTGGCCTTTGGAAAGACAATACTGACAAGTCCACAGTGCTGATTTTTTTTCCCTTTTTTTTTCTTTTCTTTTTCTCTTCTTTTTTTTTGGCAGAGGTAGGGTCTTGCTTTCCTCAGGCTGGTAATGAGCTCCTGATTTTGACAGACCCGCCCAGCCCCCCAAAATCCTTGAGCTGCAGGCACGGCCATAGCACCATGCCAAACAACACCATTTTTCCTATCAATTTCATTCTCTCTTTCTGTCCTCCCACTCCCTGTTCTTCCATTCTATTTTTTCATCCCTTCTTTGCGCCCCCTTCTCTTTTCTTTTCTTTCTCCCTGCTCACTCTTTATCCTTCTCTTCTTTTTGGCCTTATACCAACAGGCCACTTAAACATCTAAGCTCAGAGATAAGGTAATTTAAAGTGAGGGAGACAGTAAGAAGGAAAACATAGAGCATGGAGGTGAACAAGAAGAAAACATACATGAGGAGGAACCAACACAAAAATTCTGACAACATGAAAACCTAAAACAGAACAACTCCCCAAGGGAGTACCAGGAGGCAGCTACTGCAGAGGACTCCACCTATAAAGAATTAATGGAACTGACAGAAAGGGCATTTAAAATATAGGTGATGAAGGCAATAAAGAAAATTGATGAGAAAGTAGAAAAACAGAACCAAAAAATGGACAAAAGACATGAAGAATATAGAAAGGGTATGGCAGAGCTTAAGGAAATGAAGTAGTCAATCAGAATTTAAAGAGGCAGTAGAAAGTATCAATAACAGATTAGACCATAGAGAAGAATCTCAGAGCTAGAGGACAAAGTTCATGACCTAACCCAGGTAGTTAAAGAGGCAAAAAAGAAGTGACAGAAAGCAGAACAATCAAACAGAGAATTACAGGAATTTAGGAAGTGTTCAAACATATAAATTATAGGGATCCCTGAAAGGGAAAAAAATAGTCCCAAAGGAATGGAAGCTCTACTGGAAGACATGAATGAAAACTTCCCAAGTTTCACTAAAGATTCTGACACACTCCTTCCCCCTTTCAGAGGGAAACAGAACCCTGGGTCACCTCAACTCAAACAGAGCTTCTCCAAGACACATTGAAATGAACCTGTCCAAAATTAAGATGAAAGAGAAAATTCTGCAAGCAGCCAGGAGTAAGTGCCAATTGACCTACAGAGGCAAATCTATCAGGGTGACAGAAGATTTTTCAGCTGAAACTTTCTAAGCCAGAAGAGAATGGTCATCTATTTTTCTTTTTTGAGACAGTCTTACTTTGTCACTCTCGATAGAGTGCTATGGCATTATAGCTCACAGCAACCTTGAACTCTTGGGCTCAAGTGTTTCTCTTGCCTCAGCCTGATGAGTAGCTGGGACTACAGGTGCCTGCCACAACGCCCAGCTATTTTTAGATATAGGGTCTCACTCTTGCTCAGGCTGTTTTCAAACTCCTAAACTCAGGTAATCCACCCGCCTCAACTTCTAGCATGTTAGGATACTTTTAACCTTAAACAAAATAATTGTCATTCCAGATTTCTGTATCCTGCTATGCTAAGCTTTAAAATTGATAGAGAAATAAAATCTTTTCCCAGTATGCAAACATTGAGGACATTTTCCATAAGACCAGCTCTATGAGAAATACTTAGACCTATTCACCACACTGACCATCAAAATCCATCACCAGTAAAGTAAATACCTAGAAACTAAAGGTCAAAACTTAGCTTCCACAATAGCGCAAGGGATAAAACTATGCAACAGACTTTCACAAAATAAAATGTAAATGGTTTGAATTTCCTACTGAAGAGGCACAGGCTAGCTAATTGGATAAAAAAGCACAAGCTGTCCATATGCTATCTCCAGGAAGCACACCTAGCCTTGAAGGACAAAAGACTCAAGGTTAAAAGATGGAAAACAGAATTTCCATCTTTCTTCTGCAACCAGAAGAAAGTAGGGGTTGCAATCTTATTTTCAGATACAAGTGGATTTAAAGCAACTAAAGTCAAAAAAGACAAAGATGAAAGTTTCATATTGGTCAAGAGAACAATACAAGAGGATATTTCAATTCTAAATATTCATGCACCTAATTTAAATGTTCCCAGATTTATAAAACAGACTTTGATTAGTCCAAGCAATGTGATATTCCATGACACCATAATAGCTGGGGACTTTAACACCCCTCTGAAAGAACTAGACAGATCCTCTAAACAGAAACAAAGATACAAATAACTTACATGTGACTCTACAATAAATGGGTTTAATAGACATATATAGAACACAGCATCCCAAAGCTAAGGAATATACATTCTTGTCAGCCCATGGAACATACCCCAAAATAGATCAGATCCTATGTCACAAATCAAACCTCAACAAAATCAAAAGAATTGAAATTATACCTTTGTATATTCTTAGACCACAAGGCAATAAAGGTGGAACTCCAACAAAAATTGTTACAATGAAAGAGAAATTATTATATTAGATACCTAAATCCAAAAAACAGAGAGCACTTCAACAAACTGATGAATCATCTTAAGAATGTAGAAAAGGAAGACCAATCCAATCCCAGACTTAGCAAAGAAAAGAAATAACCAAAATTAAATCAGAAATTAATGAAACTAAAAATAAAAGAGTCATTCAGAAAACTAATGAAACAAAAAGTTGGTTCTTTGAAAAAAATAATAAAATTGATAAACCTCTGGCCAAATTAACTAGAAATAGAAAAGTAAAATCTCTAGTAGCCTCAATCAGAAATGAAAAAGGAAAAAAAAAACCATATCACAGAGATACAAGAGATTATCTCTACACACCTACAGTGGCGAGGAGGGTCAGAATGTTCAGTAGATTAGATAAGAAACTAGTCTGAGAAACGTCCAGAAAGAAATCAGAGAAATCTCTTAGCAGAGACCAGGGTTATCAGTGGAGTTAGAAGGCAGTTGACAATTACCTTCCAGCTGTGGCTATCAAGCCTGTGGGCTGTAACCAGTTCCTCATTAATTCCCTATAATGGAGTTGTTTAATATGTGTTTTAATACTTAACTGTCCTTCCCACTGATAGTCTTCTTCCTTCATAAAAAGACCACCTGTTTAACTGAGTTATGAGACTGTTAACTTCTCACTTTTTTACTTTGTATGTACACGCCCCCAAATCCTAATAAAAAGCTCTTGAGATTTTGGTTCAGGGTAGCACCAATCTGCCTCACTAAAGGCTGACAGGGCTGTAGAAACTCTGTGTGTAAATTTCTCACACAATTCTTCACCATCTCTAGACCCCAGGTGTTCAGGAAAGTTCCCATTTGGGGAATGCTCAGTCTGCCATTGTGTGGCTCCCTCCTACTCAACACCCAGAGAATAAAGGATAGAATAAAGAGGTAGCAGGATGCCCATAATTAAAGGCTTCTTTTGTACTATATTCACTAAAAGAAAAAACCTCACGCATGTTGCAGATATAAACATGAAGCTTAAAAAGTATCACAAAGACTACAATGGGTCAATATAATAGGTAAACAAAACAGGTCTACATCCAATAATTTATAGAAAAATTTATACTATAAGATATTGTGGTTTATCTATAGGAAAACTGTTTATGACCACATTATCCAAGTCCAAGATAATATAAAACTTCTTTGAATACATTTCAACAACAAAAAAGTAGGGAAGCTCGGAGTTCATTATTAATAGGATTTAAGTGTACTTGACCGAAACACCTTTGGTAAAATATTCAGTTAAATTTTCTACTTTACTAATTACAGATCAATTATCTCACAACACTCCTACCACCCACACCTTACCGAGTATGGGCTCAGTGTATTTAAAATATTCTAGATATTGTGGTTTATATAAAGGAAAACTGTTTATGACCACATTTGCAGCAGTCACAGACACATCAGTGCTACTATACTAACAAACAATAAGTACATACTTTAATCTTGGGGAAAACTCCAAATTACATCCCTAACTCAGTTTTTACTTTTTTAAACTATTCTCAAAATTACCTGTAGTAAACCTTGGTTTATTCAATTAAAAAATGGTTTCATAATCTAGTCAAAATGATTACAGAACACCAGGTTTTCTTTTTAAATAATTTCTATAATCTATATAAATAAAAATGGACAAAATATAAAATAATATCTTTAAGTGATAAGGAAATACTCTCTTATTTACAAATTTTATTATTTTTGCTTTTTTTTTTTTTTTTTAGAGACAGAGTCTCACTTTGTCACCCTCAGTAGACTGCTGTGGTATCACAGCTCACAGCAACCTCCAGCTCTTGGGCTTAGGCAATTCTCTCACCTCAGCCTCCTGAGTAGCTGGGACTACAGGTACCCACCACAACACTCAGCTATTTTTTTGTTGCAGTTTGGCTGGGGCTGGGTTCAAACCCGCCACCCTCAGTATATGGGGCCAGCACCCACTCACTGAGCAACAGACACCGCCCATATTTACAAATTTAAATTGATAATCACAAACCACAGCAATGGTAACCGAAGTGCATTTAGTACTGTGAGAGTTCTCTGATAACCACGTCTTGAGTAGCCTGGTCATGCATCAGATTTCAGTCTACCTTGGTTAATATTATCTGGTAACATTTGTATGTCAAATATGTAGTGAACATATTTATAGATCTCCTCAGCCTTTTGATGGGTTACATGTGCATACATGGAGATTTCTTGAGGTGAGCTGAAAAATAAGACAAAATTATTATACTTAGAACATCTGATTTTCATAAAATGTAATATCTTACTTAATACCAAACAACAGCCTTTAATAAAAACATCTCTTCCTAAGCATTAAACATGCAGTTGATGTCTTTAGCATTAGTTAAACAACACAAAAATGTACTTGTTTCCTTTATTTAAAAACATCTGCAATAATAATGATTTTAACATCTGCAGTGAACCAAATGTTTCTGTTTCCCCCAAATTTATATGTTGAAACTCTAATCCCAATGTAACGGTATTTTGAGGTGGAGTCTTTGGGAGGTAATTAGGTCCAACAGGTAGACCTCTTAGTGCTCTTACTAGAACAAGACAGCCAATGTACTCAGCTCTACTATGAAACTAATTTATAGCTTTCATAGGAAAGCTATAACCCAATTTTAGCTCAGGAATATGGAGAGAGGGGAGAGGGAGGTAAGGGGAGAGGGGAGAGGGTAGGTAGAAGGAGGGTGATTGGTGGGATCACGCCTATGGTTCATCCTATAAGGGTACATGTGAATCTCTCTAAATGCAAAATATAAATGTTTTAACACAATAACTAAGAAAAAGACATGAAGGCTATGTTAACCAGTTGGATGAAAGTATTTCAAACTGTATACAGAAACAGTACATTGTACCTCATAATAGTATTAATGTACGCTGCTGTGATTTAATAAAAAAAAGAACAAGACAGAAAGCTAGTTAGCACTATTTCTGCCATGTGAAGATACAGCAGGAAGTCACGCTGGCACCCTAATCGCAGACTGCCAGTGTCTAAAACTGAGAAATAAATTTCTGTTGTTTATAAAGCACCGAGTTTATGGTACTGTTTTATAGAAGCCTGAGCTAAGACAGTATCTTACATGGACCTTTAGTTAAAATGAACCTAATGTTCTAAAACCTCCATCTTCAGGCAATATAATGATCAAAATCTGTAATATCCTCAGCTTGAACATTGTTCTAGTTATAGAACTGAACAGCCCAGAAATGGTAGAATGCAAGGTCAAATATAAATGTCGCTTATTGTCTATCTCCCCATAGGACTCTAAACACCTTGAAAACAATGCCTCTATACATTTTTTCTTTTCCAGTATTTTCCCCATTAATATCCCTGAACTTCATATAGTAAATGATACATGTTGGCAAGCAAAAAAAAAGCTTTACTGAATAAAATAATAGGCATATACCTCTTAATTTAAAAAAATTTTGAAATTCTATTAAATACTTTTAGGAATCTTTAAATGGTAATAATTTAAAACTATTATTAAAAGAGACATACCTGTTAGCCATCTTTCTCACAGATGAAAACTGGTGACACAAATTTAATGCAGTTATATAACTTGTATTTGGAATACTTAAATAAAATGAAAGTGCCTCACATTTACTACTGTTCACCACCATTGGAACACAAATACCAACATTCTTTCTTTGTTCCACTAAAGACAATTCCTTTAGCAAATCTGCAGTTTCTTCTTGGCAGGAACTAAAAAGAATTCGGATTCCAGCACCAATTAAGGTAGTCAGTAGGCTGTCATAGCTCTTTGTTCTCCTAAACATCCTTGATGTGTCTCCTAAATATTTCATATTTAGGAAAAAGCAAATGTTAGCCTATATTATTAAGTAGAATCATTAATATACTTTATTAGTATACTTTATTTTATACTAAAATACCAAGATCTAGGGTGGCGCCTGTGGTTCAGTGGGTAGGGCGCAGGCCCCATATACCAAGGGTGGCTGGTTCAAACCCAGCCCCAGCCAAACTGCAACAACAACAAAAAAATAGCCGGGGGTCGTGATGCCTGTAGTCCCAGCTACTAAGGAGGCTGAGGCAAGAGCATCTCCTAAGCCCAGGAGTTGGAGGTTGCTGTGAGCTGTGTATCGAGGGCAATAAAGTGACACTTTGTCTCTACAAAAAATAAAACCAAGATCTATACCATCGAGCAAATTAGTGTCACATTCTGCTAATGAGAATCCTACAGCTAATGTTTTAAAGTGATTCTCAAATATCTGAGAAATAAAATAGGGAGAACTGTCTCTGAGAGTGTCTTGAAGTGGAATCAACATAGACTAGGTAAATAAGTAAGGGAAAGCTTATATTCCTAGATAATTCATTCCTGAAGACCAAGACAGTATTACTCATCTCTACAATTTTTCATTCTAGCATTAAGCATTGGGTTTACTGATATAAAATTATATTACGCAATTATTCCAACCCATTTTAATGCTGTCCTGCCAATTAATTTGCCCTAACCTTTCCTGTTCATTTTCTCTTTTCATACCCTTTTATTAGCATTTCCCGTTATACTTCCCCACAAGATACTTCTCCATAACTTTTGCCATGTCACTTTCCTCTCTATTCCAAATCTTTCCTTTATTCCTTGCTTTTCAAATCAAAAAGGGAAAAAATGGGTTACGGAAAGTTAAAGTGACCTATCTGAAGTCGTATGGTTCACCAGTGACAGCATGAAGATCCACTGAGAACATAAAGTTGAAATCAAGTTGCCCAATTTCCAAACCAATGTCTTATATAAACTACACTATTCTCTTTTACATAGATTATTTGATTCTTCCGTAATTGCTTTCACCCATATTTCACTTTTTCTCGTAATCTCACAAGGTATGTAGGACGAGTACATCATCAACCCCTCCAGGGGAATGATTTGTCAATGAAATGTCACATAGGTATAGAAACGGGTGCCTCTTCTGATTACACATCTCACCATCTCTTCACTATTCTTCAGGGCTCTCCACACAAATGATTAGCACAGAAATTTCCTAACTGAACCTCAAATCCAACATTTCCAAATGCATCCTAGGCAGCCATTACAGGGACCCATTAAGAACTCAACTCAAAGCTTGGCCCCCATAGCACAGTGGTTCCAGCACCAGCCACATACACCAATGCTGGCAGGTCCGAACCCAGCTAGGGCCAAGTGCAACAAAAAAATAGCTGGGCATTATGGCAGGCGCCTGTAGTCCCAGCTACTGGGAGGATAAAAGAGAATCACTTAAGCCCAGGAGTTTGAGGTTGCTGTGAACTGTGACGCCACCTCACTGTACGAAGGTGACATAGTGACACTCTGTCTCAAGAAAAAAAAGAAAAAGAACTCAACTGAAGATGTTCAAAATTGAGCTGCTCTTGCCCTCAAATCCTCTGCTCTTATATTCATAATTGTAATAAATGACACCACTGCCTAACTGCCCAATAACCATCGGTCAATTCAGCATAATTTTCTATTTCTTCCACCAACTCCTGCTTATCCTGGCTCTTAAACATCTCCTGAGTAATATTTCTCTTCTCCATTACTGCCTTAGTGAAGCCCTCATCCTTACTGGATTCCTGAGAAAGTCTCCTTTGGGTTCACTTGCCTTCAATTTCTCACCCTTCAATTCTCGGAAGCTACATTTAAATACAGTGACTAATGAAAAACATCATGGCATTATGAAAAAATGAAATGACATTCCTAAATTACTTATTTATATTTTAAGAGTTTCCTATATTCTGACAGTAGAATAAATTGTCAAGTTCATAGACAGTCTTATAAATAAATATATTTTAAAATACAAACCTCTTCTTTCTCTGTCCTTTTCCACAATCACACATATTCTTTCAAACATGCTCTGCAGGTGCTGGATCTGCTCAATGAGCTTGTTCTTACTGACACTAGTTAACATCTCAGACTGATGCCTCCTTTCCACCACCATGCGGTTACTCACAATGTAATCGCAGCCATTAAGAGGACAAACCTCTACTTGCAATCCATGAACTGCTCTTAGGGAAGAAATTACTTCTAAACCAGAAGTGATTTCATGACTATCTACAAGAATACAGGCACTTTTTCCTTCCTGTGGAAGTCTAAGAGAAGAATGTGTCTCAGCCACGCATGGTCCTGCACTGGAGCAGCATGTCCCTGAAGTGCTAGAATCCTCCAGAGTGCCAACCTGAAAAAGTTAAAAACATCGATCACAACGAGGCTTACTATGTGTTAGCAACACAAACCTCTCCTTCCTGGTAATGTTCTTTTTTCCTTCTTCGACATATCCAATGTGACTACACACGAAGGAACAAACAAGCATTCCTCAAAAAAATTATGAAGCTGTAATGTAATTAACAACAAAAGCTAAGAAGAGAAAGAGGTGAAGAAATTGGGGAAAGCCTAACAAAGAAGAGGAAAGAAAATAAATGTAAAAAGGAAAATTAAAATTTTAGCCCAGAGGGGGAGAAAAATGACAAGAAAGTTAAATAACAACCTGAAAAACAGATTAGAGTTCATGTCAAACAAAGAACAAGGAGATTAACATGATATTATTGGAAAATAATTGCAAGACAGGATAACTAGAAAGTATCTCTAGCTAAAAGCAGCTAAAACCTGATAAAAAACACATTTTTAAGAAATATTTCAGCCAGGCCCAGTGGCTCATGCCTTTAATCCTAGCACTCTGGAAGGCTGAGACAGGAGGATCCCTTGAGTTCTGGAGTTCAAGACCAGCCTGAGCAAGAGTGAAACCCCCATCTCTAGCAAAAAAATAAAAATTAGGTGTGATAGCAGGCGCCTGTAGTCCCAGCTACTCAGGAGGCAAAGGCAGAGGATTGCCTAACCCAGGAGTTTGAGGTTGCTGTGAGCTCGGCTGACCCAGTGACCTCCAACCTGGGGCAACACTGAGAGACGGTCTCAAAAAAAAATAAATAATAATAATAATCTTCAAAATACACACCTGGGCTGACAAGAAATTAAGGAATGCACCAAGGTAAACAGAAGAAAAGTGAACCCCCTGGAACTTACTTAAGCCAGGAACAAAACAGGTTCCCTTTGCAAAGTACCTACTAAATCCCTTTGGCAGTTTCTCTTTTGACAAAGACACAGGGGAAAAATCCCCTTAGAATTGGTATCTACAGGGCAGTGCCTGTGGCTCAGTGAGTAGGGCACTGGCCCTATATAGTCAGAGTGGCAAGTTCAAACACAGCCCCAACCAAACTGCAACTAAAAAATAACCGTGCGTTGTGGTGGGCGCCTGTAGTCCCAGCTACTGGGGAGACTTGAGGCAAGAGAATCGCCTAAGCCCGAGAGCTGGAGGTTGCTGTGAGCTGTGACGCTACAGTGCCCTACCAAGGTTGACAAAATGAGACTGTCTCTTAAAAAAAAAAAAAAA